GGCTTGTACTTTCAGTGGTCTCGCAGCCCCTGCCTCCTGCCTTCTGTAGAGTCCATTAGTGGTTGCATAATGTTTGGCAGACAGGGACAGAATGAATGCACCCCCAAAGGGTCGAACACTAGCAAGGAGGTAGGGTGCTCTAAGGAGAAAGAAACTCAGAGTTCCCATGTGTTGTCAGTGATGGATTTATTAGAAAAATAAAGGGAAAGCAGCTGCTTTTTCACAGACAAGCCGGTTGCATCTTTGGTTTGAGGAATTCTAGGTTAATGCAAAATAAAAGAGCTGCATTAAATATGAAGCAGCAGAAGCTGCAGTCAAGCACTGCATCTGGTCTTTGCTCCTATGTGGCACTACATGCTTTCATTGCACTGCTTCATCATTACACTTTTATACCGTCATCTTTATTATGTGCTTTATTTGGTCATTTTTAGCCTTTTAGATTATTCCTTCACTATTTATATTTTCTTGCCTTGAAAACAGAAGATGGTGTTGGACGTGTTATTTTATATTGAAAAGAAAAGATGAAGGTTAATATTTTGTCCAGCTACCACATTTTATTTATTCCTCATGAAGTACACTGAACATGAAGTGCTTACGATGAAGCACATTGCTTTTATTAAAGGAGAATGGAGGGAAAATTTTCAATGAACACACCTTATTCAGGGCATGAAAGCCTTGTGCTGCACACAGAACAGTAAAATGCACTTTGGATTCATGTAACCTTCATATTACTATCCAAAAGGTGAATAGTGTGTGAATCATTATCTCGATTCATCTAGGAATGAATAATGTGTGTAGCTGTGTTTGTGTGTTTGTGTGTTTTGCGAGAACTGTGTGTTTCCTGGAAAGTCACACTAGACAGCCTTCGGTCTGAGAGGAAGATCAGTGTGTGCGGCCGTGCTTTTCATTTTATTACCACAAAATCAGCAGATGCAAAACTAGCATTCACGCCAGAAAGTGAAGCTTGGATACAGCTGTGCGACCTAGTTAATACATCCCTGAGCATACACAGCCTGCATCTTCTCCCCTCCCTCGAGAAGCCATCAAAGGCTTTAAGTTTTGTATTTGCTGCTTTGACCTTTCCACCCTTAAAATAATAGAAGGTATTTTCTCAGGCTAAGCATATTTTTTCTATATGTGGGGTAGTTTATCAGAGCAAACTAAACCTCACTTGCACTATTGAGGACAGACTACTTTCAGTCCGCATCATCCTGCATGAATGGGGTCAGTCCGTTACAGACTCCCAGCAGAAAAATATAAACAGATGTGGAAAATCTTCTTTTTGTTGCCTTGAACCTAGACAGAGACACTCCATGCGCCTTTGAGTGTCTGCTTCCTCCATCCCCTCCCTCACTCGTTTTCCTCAACCATACCAACTGCAGCCCTATGCTGAAGTGATTGCTTTGGGTCCCGCTTCGGTGTGAGCCAGGCTCAGAACCCCTTTGTAAATTCACAGATGTAAAGGGAGGTGAACAACACCCACACTTCCCACCGAAACATGACACAAATTACAGACCACAACATCTGGTGAGTGGCATGCACCAAAACTCAGCGGGGTGGGCCAAGCATATACAGCCTAGCTTAGTCCAGCCAAACTTATTTCCTGTTTTTTTTATTTCAAAAATGTTTCCTGGGAACAGAGGAGTGGAAAAAGTGACAAAACCAGTGCGAGAGCAAAAAAAACCTGCTTTTCCACGTTCACTGTCTTGCCTTCGTCCATTAACAGATGTGAAAACAACACAGCAACATGGCGCCGCTGTGTTTTGTATTCTACAATATTTTACAACATGGGCAGAGACCTCACATTCTGCACAGGAAAGCAAACCAAAACAAACAAACAAAAAGGTAAAGGGAGCATAAATGGTATCTAGACAAAAACACTACCATGATAAATAAATGACCGTATAGGAGAGGGGGGGGGCAAATAAATAAATAAATAAATAAAGCTGTTCTCGGATGGATGAATTAGCTTTATGTGGCCAGGAGTAGCTCATTTTACCCGTAAGTTTTCACAAGCTGCTGAGTGTTATACTGTATCCCTGTGATGCAGCGGGGTAATTAAAGCATGTGCCTAAAGCAGGTTATCAACTACTTGTCAGCACCAGCGTCAATACTGAAAATCAATGCCACATGTCAAGCTCCACTGAGGCCTTCAGGGGACACTGATAAAGGGGGAGAAGATATTGATCTGGTTAAAGTTTGTGTGTGTGTATGGGTTGCCTGTAGAAAGTCATTTGGATTATCAACCACCATGCGTCCATATTCCTATAACAGAGCACTTCTTATTTTGCCAAAGTAAGGTGTATTCTTTAAAGATCATGGCATATAATGGCTCAAATAATCTGACAAATCTGTTCCAGTGCACTGTAATACATGCAGCCTTTAATACACATTTAATTAAAGTGAAATTTATTAAAGTGCTGGTTCAACTCTACATGTATTTTTGAGGCTTAAGTGTTGGTAGTGTTGTACTGCAATGGACGTTCGGCTCTTAAATGTCACACAGCCCTGGCGTACAAATGGCCATAGAGTAAAAGTGAAAAAGTCATGTAAAAAGTAATCTTGGTGTGACCTCATGCAAAACAGTGAGTTATTACAACAACACTGGCTGAATCAGGTAATTGGACAAGTTGTTCTAACAAAGGAGGAGGCACTGCACCAAGACACAAATCACAGCCCACAGAGACGCGACAGGAAGGGACAATAATGACAGAGGGTGCACATGAAGGTGCCAGAATCTGTCATTCCAACAACCCAGCCAATTTGCAGGGTGATGTACACTCAATTAGGAGGCACTACACTGACTTGAACCTGAGACTTGACAAAGAAAAGAACAGGGATAAACAACAGTACATGGGTTTAAAATGTGGCTGTTACTGATAATAAGAACAGGGGAAAGGAAACAGAATATGACTCAGGTGAGCCTTATTCATTTAAATGTCACAATCATTCAAGGCTTGCAACCACAAGGAAGACTGGTTTCTGTCTGCTGATCTCTGTAAGCTGGGTCAGTCACTCCGGTAACGATAACATTTCGGACTGAACAGTTGTCATAGGAATCAGCATCTTAACAATACAGCACATAGTTTCTCTGCGCTCCCTGTCAGTGTATCCTTCATCTCAGATATCACAAAGTCTAGAATATCTTCTTTTTAGATTCTTTATATTTAACCCACAAATACAAGCATGTTGAATAAACTTTAGCTGTGTAGGTCCCTTTAAAGTAGGCTCAATGTAACAAAAATAAAAAGAACTCAGGAGTAAAACCTAAGTAGTGACACAAGCACAGTGAGCTCTGCAGACTCCTTTTGAGCCTGCCACTTGTATTTAGTGTCCTATATGATTTGTTATAGCCGACGTCCTGTGAAAAGTGGCAGCAGTAGGCCTGTCTGCTTGGGTGTCAAACACAGAGACTGAATGGACATGTCACTAACGTCCAAACTACTATTAAACCCTATCATTTCATATATGGGGAGCGTGTCTGTACAAAACGGAGACAAATACACGCAAAAGCCTTCAAATGACATGATGGTGTTCTCAAACATATAGTCAAACGTGGACCCAAGTTGCTTTTCTTCCTCACAGCCACAGCGTTACCTCGTTTTAAGTTTGCTTTCCAAAAAACTCACCGTTTCCCCGCAGAGGAAGGCGGTCAGCCCGAGGGTCAAAATTATCCAAACGGTCCTCATTATTCCTCTTTATGAATGAAAACGAGTTACTGCGAGATGCCAAATCTCTCCCTTCTTCTTTCTCTCTGGCTTTCCTTGCACCCTTCACTCCAACTCCAGCCGCGTCTCTCTTTCAGGAGTGGGATCCCACCGGATACGTGTTGCGTTTTGGTTATTCCTCCCCCCTCTCTCTCCGGTCGCCTCTTTTCCCCTGAAAATTTCCTGTGTAAATCTTGTGAAATATACACAAAAAGCGCGGTTTAATTTAAGTCCTCCGTGCGGAGGACAAAGTGTAAACCACGAGCACAACTGGCGCTCCGGTGAGTGCGTGCGCTGTTTTCAGTCAAGTCACCGCGAGACAGAGAGAGAACTTGCAGCAAAGTGGCCAAAGGAGAGGACCAATGATAAAAGAGCAATCATAATAAACTAGTTATGCAGTTTATTGACAAGCTGCGCGCACTAATGTGAGTTAGGGTTTGTCGGACAACGCACGGCATAAAGAAACGCGTTCATTCACTGCGCTAAATTACAATCAAGCCTCGTGTTTGTTGTGCACCAGTGATATTATGAACACATCTGACTAGTCCTTAAATGCATTAATTGTATTGCATTTCAGCATGTAACTAAATAAATGCACCACTCTTTATATTTGAATAAAGCACACGCCATCCCGAAGAGAGGGAGTTAGGCACAAAAATGAATTACATCAATTTTGTGCTATAGGACACCCTCCAGTCACACTGAGCTCAGCAATTAATGGACAAAGTCTCCCCCTGCTGGTATGAATCAATAACTCCCTCAAAATGTACAGAATGTGTGCTTGAAAACAGAGTGGGGTTCCTGTCATCTTAGTTTTGTAAACTTGTACATGCAAACCCTGTGCTGAAAGCTTTATATATCAGGCCTGTGTTTATATGATTCATTTCATAAGGCTGACGATTTGGTTTCTTGCTTGTAAATGCCCAATTTGTAATGTCCTGTTTGCTTCCACCTTAAGCCTACCTACCATTAATCTTTGTTTCTACAGACTCATATGTTAGATTTCAAAGTGCTCTTAAGTAAATTATTAGGTTCTGGTTCTGTAAAGCTCTTAGATAACTGTCGGCTAACTGCCTGCTATTTGCTGCGGCAGCTCTAAAGAAGCTGATTCCTCAGAACAAATCTGAATAACATTTCCTGTCTTTACTTGCAAATCCTCTGTGTGTACCCAACCTTATGTCATAACAGAAGTTGGTGAGACCAACTTTGGAATGTTTTTGAAAGTTTTTTTTGCTCCCAGTCGATAATAACCTACCCTCTGTGCACACCAAACCCTCAGGACTTCACTGGTATTCACTTTTACTGACACTCATTTACCAGCTTTTAAAAGAGTTTCAGGGATAAAATCAGGTCTTAAGATCGGGTAAAAAAGGAAGGTCCATTGAGAGGGAACTGGAATTATATGCTGTATTTGCTGATGAAGACAAGAGTATAGTCTAGATTCTTCACTAATGATTGGATATAGTTCTGCTTTAAGTCCAGATGTTTTAAATGCACAAAGGTTTCTAGAAATCTATGGAAAAATGTGTGTTTGAGGAATAAGCAGTTAGAGAAGATTGACACTACTATGTAAAGTAGTATTGTTCTTGTAATTCTCTGAAAAAAGTTCTATGAACTCTTTAAGGTAGCTGTTAAGTGTACAACCAGCCTTTTCCTGTAATTCCCACCTCATCTAGTGAATGATTCCAGATTACAGCCTGTGCTCTGGCTGCCAGTGTAGCACCTCTTTGATTATTCAGTCAGACCAGAGAAAGGACTAACTGATAAGACAGGTTTTATTCTGTCAAGTGACTGACTGTTTGCCTGGTGGAACACAAGGAGAACAGGAGATGAGGCAGTAAGGGAAAGTGAAAGTAGCCATCAGGGGAAACAGACACAACAGCAAAAGAAGGACTAACAGGTCCCATTTGACCTGTACAGTTTTCCTTGTCCTGAAATTATTCAACCGCTATGACCTGAATAAAAGCAAACAATAGATAAACTGAGTGGTACCAGCCAGTCTCATACAAAACAGAGGTGTACTTGACTTAATCGTTTTGAGGTGAGACAGAATGTGAATTTAAATCAAGTGCATTTCAATTTTTTGAAGATAATTTTAAATATATCTTGTGACCCATCCACCCCTGAATGCACAAGCCTCCCAGGCCTCTTCATTCTCCTCCTCAGAGGCTTAACCCTACTCCTGGTGTCCCAGATTACACAGCCAATCAGGGTGAAGGCAAAGCCCCTTCTGCTACCAAGCCTGGCTAGAGAGTGTTGTGTTTAAGAGTCTGTGTGCGAGTGTGGCTCCAGTTCATGTTATGGTCAACCTGGAGTGAGGCAGTACAAGGGCACACAATGACACAGTGATCCAAAGGAAAGCCTTCAGTGATCTAAATTTAAAAAAGTGAACACTTATTGGGGTGAACGCTGTATAATTTTATTATGCAGGGTGGATTATGCATGCAGTGAGCTGGACTTCCTTCATTTTCATATGTGAACTGAATGTCATTCAGGCTCTATAGAAAGTGGAGACTTTCAAAGTTGTTACAGATTTCATTATATTTTATTCAACAGCACCATCCGCTGGCAAATAAGAAACTGATTTAAATTCCGAGTCAAACCCCAACAAATATGGTGTGTGTGTGATGACAGTCCAGGCAGGTGCTTTGGAAAACAAGGCACCCATGAGCACAGAATGAAAACTCAGCTGCTACCTGAATCTTTTCTTTGTTTTTACCCTGTAAACTGTGCTGAGGAATGCATCTGTAAGTCTAAGCACATACAGTGCCAGTGTTATGCCAATGGAAATGCTCTCTCACACATTTAAAACATGCAATTCATTCAGTATAAGGTCACAGCCTCACTGGCAGCTGCTGAGTTTCTGGTGTTTATCTGAGTGGGGCTGCCAGATCAGGGTCTGCAAGGTGTGTCGACTTGGGTCCCATAAAAGATGGCCATCTACCCGGATGATCCTCGTTGTTATTAATCTCAGTGCCTGGTTCATGGGCCCCATCCCCATCTCTGTTGTTCTTCTGCTCTCCGTGGGCTATCAGGGTACTGCAGCTGAACTGTTTCAGTGGCTTACCAAGAATCCCAATGCTGATGAAAGGAATAACAAAAGAATGTATGGAGATAGCTGAAAATACTATTAACATAGAAAATCCTTTAAATGTGATGTTTACACCACCTGACACTGGCCAGCTGCTGGTTGATCTGCTCCATCAGGACCTTGTTGTCACAGTGCACAGCCTGCCACGGGCTCAGCCTTCTGTCCTGGCTCCCATGGAATAGATGGGGGGAGCGTTCTTTGGGTGAGGGTAACAGAGACACCATCAGTGGAGAGCGCTGATTAACTACACTGTTGAAAGTCGGATGCCTCTGAAACATTCTGGATAAAAAAAAAAAATGTAGTGAATTTACTGTACATACAAACACCCAGGGGAAACATGTAAATGTATTGGAGGAAAGGCAGAGGACAATGAATCTCATATATCAGTCTGTATAGATTGCTCTCTAATACATTCCACTTATCACAGACTTACTCTCTTTCATCAGTTATATCTACTACCCCTCAGATTCTACAAGATTCTACGATACTACAGGACTGTCATTACAAGTAGAAGTAATACACACTTAGGACAGTAGAAACCTAAAAAACTTTCTAGAATCGGTTAATAAGGAAAGCTGACACACTCTTAAGATCAAGGTGGTATTCCAGAACAGCTACAAAAATATACTCTACACTAATAAACTATATAATAATAAAAAAATTTATTTGAAAGTGGTGGTAAATAGTAGATAGTGAAAACCGTATTGTGCATATCCAGCCTCAGGAGGTGAGCAAGTTTCACGCCCGGCTTTTGATTGTCTGGTCTGAACATGACAGCAGGAAACAGCACTGACAGCTTACACAATTGCCAATGTTGCGCCAGATACACAGAGCAACATCAAACAGGCTGTCAGATAGCCCTTCATGTCAAACAGAGGTTCAGCTCTGTCTACATGTTCCAGTCAGAAATCTGACAAGGCATCAGTCAAACAGACAACGTCAGTGTCTGAGCTCTTAAGTGATTTACTGTATAGTCGAGTCAGGTGCAGACTGGTTAAAGATGGCTGGATCTGAGACTTTATAAATAGCAATTTCCTAGGATGTTTTGCTGACTAAGCTGCTGAAAAGTCCTCATGAAGTTTTTATGTTATAGTAAAGTAAAAGATTAATCATTATGGTTGTTGTCAGGGTTTTAGTCTGACCAATCAGATTCCTTTATGTGCAGGAAGACAAAAGCACAAGCAAGTTGATGGTATTTCTCCAGTCACATAGGAAATTAGACCAGTAACCTTCATTTGCACTTTGCACCAAAGCAAGATTTGACATTTTTACAGTGTGATACAACTATATACAGCATCTACCACCCACTCCTTTTGCACAGCTAGGACACTTGGTGTTTATGCTGCACTCAGATTAGACCTCTTTACAGCACATACTGTATAACGCAATATGTGGGGGTAACAGAATCAGACAGCAGTGTTTCTGTAGGTTGAACGCATGATCAGAATATCAGAAGAATGAACTCTGACCTTTGAATATACAAGGAGTTCAAGATCACACTGCACCAGAAATGATATTTAAGTTTTCAGTTGAGGCGAATAAGACAAATATTTACAGAAGTTAATGCAAAATGTAACCGCCTCCTAAGGCTGACCAGTACTGAGACTTTACAAACGCCAC